GGTTGGATTGGGGTATCTACTAAAATGAAGACAAAGGGATACTTACATAAGTCTCCTGGGCAATTGATACAACGAACAAATCAAAAATAGACTGGAAACACCTCAAGGAATTTAATATAGGGTGCCACTTGAAGGATCCTAGTTTACTGAAGGAAAGAAAAAAATCTTCTTCCCTAATACCTAAAATACATAAAAAGGGTTTAGGAGATTTTTCTAAATAAAAATAAAAAAATAGGTTAGAGAAACAAATCTAACGTTTTATTGTCTCAAACAAACAGTTTTTTAAAAAATACAGCTTATACAAAAGGCATACTATATAAAAATAGTTGTCAAATACAAATAAAGAAACTTACATGTTATCTGTTTACAAAGAGGTTACAAAAACCTTCGAAATGTCGAAATATCCTTTTGTGCAAAATAAAATTTAATCTTTACTATAAAATCAAAATATCTTTTACAACAGATTAAAAATCAAACTGTCATACGTCAAAACAAACATTTTTAAAACAGGATAAAATTATGACATGACAGTTTAAACCACGCCCTAACATAATATTTATTTTAATTACAAATATTTTTTTAAAAAAATAATTTATAAATGCAAATTTTGTCTTTTTAAAAGAAAATGCCTATTTTTACTTTAAAAATTAATACCGTAAATGTTACCTCAGTTCACACATGTTTTGAACAACTGGCTAATTTCTGTGGGGTATCTAACTGCACGTCAACGGAAAGCTTTATTGGAAGCTGAAACTGGCACATTCAAATCAAAACTGCTCCAATATCATTCTACGTGAGGTGAAGAGGCATCTTGGAAAAGAACTGGATTTCTCAAAAAACGAAAAGAAAGCAGGAACTAAACTTGTTCACTTCTCAAACATTATAAATCTTCAGCAAAATCAAAACAGTGGTTAGTGGTCACTCTTTCAGAAACGACATATTACATAGAGTGAAAATTCCACAATTTTTGGCGAATTAATGCCGGCTTACCACATCACAATTAAACGACCTTTCCCTTCGAGCAATTCTTCATCACTTCTTCGCTTGACCCTCTCGATCTCAATCTGCCGGATAGATACCGCCTCTCTTTTCCCTGCACAAAACCATTGCCATCTTGTCAAATCAACAAATTCTTTACTCAAACTCGTTCAAAAAACTTCCGGCGTTACTACGCTTTAGAAAAAAGAATACCAGGCTTGCAATATTTTTGTGGGAACGTTGAAGTTAAAAAGCCATAAATTGTTGTCTTTGTATTAGAGAAATTCATCCATTCCGTCCGAGGTCGGACGAAATAAAACAGAATTGCTATCGGTTCAAGGTCCCAAGCTGTTACTCGCATATGCAGATGACATAGATCTCGTTGGAGACTCCATCCTATCCACGAAAGACATTTTCAACAAGATGTAAGGAGCAACAAGTGAAGTTGGGCTGAAGATTAATGAAGAGAAGACGAAATATATGTGTATAAATAGAACGACACAAAGAGACAGAATAGGACAAAATGTGACAGTCAACACCTTCAATTTCGAAAGAGCACAACGTTTGAAGTATCTGGGGGCCGTCATCATAGCTGACAACAATGTTACTAAAGAAATAAAAGACAGAATCCAATCTGCAAACCGCTGTCTATTCGCACTGGATAAGCTCATAAAATCAAAAAATCTCACAGGAAGTTCACAAAGTTCACAAGTCAACTCACAAATTGAGCACATTTTGAACACTTAATAACGTAACTACTATGTTAAAAAATATTCTAAACTATCAATTTTTACGTTTTAATGTATTTGAAAATAGTTAGTATTAAAAAATGTATTGAAACAATTTAGGCGTTGCCAGACTTCGGTTTTATGTATTTAAGACCTTCTAGACTACATAAAATCATAAGTGTTACATATGGTTAAACTCGTATTTAATAGGAGATTCTAATAATGACTGAATATATAGGGTGATGCATTTGAAAAACCAAAGTTACTAGTAATATAAGAGAAAATGAAAATCTGGCAACATTGCAAATACCAAATATGGAATCTCCGTATCCCAAAATAGGCGTATCTCAAATTTTGTATAATTATGTCAAGTAATTTACGAGATAATTAGCCGTTTTCAGACTTTTGGACCACTCTGTATATTGCGAGTTAATAAATGGTCTTTGACTAATACTGCATGTTATTCTATTTTAACCAAATATGAATAAGGAATTTTAGATCAAAAATGTATAAATATAAGACTTTTACAAGTAAAATTCTTTTCATATGGCTCTTTTGGAAGCTGGTCATGTATAGACTCTATAATAGGGTGCAGTGTCCGACAGTAAGTAAATTACTGTTTCATCTGACAAGCCGACCACAAAGGATTTAATATAAGAATGATGTTCGGATCGTCCATTATATTCGAGATATTACAAAATTTTACTCCAGGTTATGTCAGTAACTCTTGGCTCATTACTCTTCTCTCTTATTACACGTTATATATCACCAAGCAATTGCGTGCATACTTTAATTTTTATGGTTATGTTTATTTTACTGTATCATAGTCATTATTTATAGTGTAAATAAATGCAATAAGTTATTTGTTTACATAGATTTAGGAATTTAGAAATATGGAAAAAGAAAATATTAACATGCTCGTCTAGTTTAAGCCAAAATCAATGTAATATAGAGTTGACTGCACAAAAAAAAATCCAAAAAAAGCCTTACAGAAACTTTTATTTTGATCTACAAAACAGACCTACCTAAATAACTTCTACCAACACTTCGTTAGAAGATAATTTTCAAAGTAACATGGGACACTCTAGTGGTTTTCTGTATACCATAAGTATACCATCTGTATTACCAAAAAACTTACATAGAAGTACAGATTTCTGGTACATAATATATTGTATTAATAAAAATCATTTAGAATTTATCCAAGAGAATTACAAATCTTCAAAACGTTTTCGGTCCACTCGGAACATCACCAGTGAAAAATCCGAAAGTATTTCCACTTTAAAATGACAAAAAACAAAAGGTAAAATTTTGACTGTTAAATTACAAATGAGATTTGTCCCACTATTAAAACTAGTTAGCTGACTAGGTCACGGAGGAAGGAATAATTTTTGTTAAGATTGACAGGTCCTCCGAGGATTTACATCCTCCGAAGGTGTAAAAAATTATTTTAAAGAAGTAATTATTTTTAATTCAGTTAATAAAGTCATCATCACGTAGCGCTACAAACCTGGGTGGGTCTTGGCTGACTGTACAACTTTTTTCCAATTTGTTCGATCTTCCATCAACCTAGGGTCAAATGGAATGTTCATTTTCCGGAGATATGTTTGGATATCTCTTCATCGCATTCTGGGACGTCCGACTGATCTTTTGCCTCTGGTAATCTCCTCCTATAGCAGTTTTACAAGTCATTCAGTATCTTTTACCCAAAGTGTCCCATTGCCACAATTCAATAATTTATTTTAAAGGTGAGAAGTGCAGCTTTCGTATGCAATTTTTGTAATATGCTGAAAGTCAGTTTTTCCCATTTTTTATGATTTTTATAAGATCAATAAAATTAATAATTCCATTGGCAGGTTATTGTAAAATTTTCACTGCTGTAGATAGATTTTCAAATTCTATAACATGAAATTTCAATTTTGAGCTTTGGTAATACATATGAGACATTTGAAACATACCTAAAAAACGCTGAATTTAAACTTTCACGTTAATAATGACCTAAAGCATCTAAAACTGCTTGTTTTCGATTGCTTAAGTACGTTTTTCGAAACTACACAAATTCAGCTACAAATTTCACTCAATGCCATCTTCGTAGAAACATTTTCCGTGACGTGAGATTGTTTGTAATGTGAAAGTTGAAATTCAGCGATATTTAGACATTTTTTCAAATGCCATTTGTTGTCAAAAAAAAATCTAAATTTCGTTATTCGTTAGGTTTAATTAGACTCCAATAATGAAAATTACACAGCGATGTAACGATGTACTGATCGTTCAACAGTTCGAACCGTGGGAGTGTCGATATTCGCGCATCCATCTCTACGACGAGACGACGAAGCGTGGGATCCGGAGCGTCTATTTAAGGCTAGCGACTGGAGGAATTAGATAGTCTTGTGGCTAGCGCTCTAGACTCCCTGGCTCGCTGGTGTAGTGAATCTGCGAGCCAACCCGGACAGAGAGACTTCCGTATTGAGGATTGTGCTATGTCTATCCTTAACCAAGCAGAACCCATCGGTATCATAAATTGAACGTTACCGTCAACGTGGATCTGCACAACCGAATATTTTGTTTGCGAGTGCCTTCGAAGCTTCCGCTGAACTGAGATGGAAGCGAGTATAAGTCTGCGTGCGATCGACTTCGGGTATTTCTTTTCTTGGTTAGTAATAATAATTTTTTTTTACAGAGGTTCGCCGGGGAATTCTCTCTCGCGGCATCCAGACGGGGACATAGAAGACATTTTATTTTTATTTGTTGTATATACGTTAAAATTAATAAACTTATTTTTCTTTCAACCTGTGTTTTACTGAGTCTGACGCCTCGAAAGAGCTATCCGTTGCAGCGACTAGTAAATAGAAGTGATAGATTTTATTGATCTCATGAGAGTTGTAATGTCATGTAATTGAATTGTCACTTAAAATATGTAAAAAATCGCGCAACTTTAATAAATTATTTAACAGTTTTATAGAAACTGCGTTTATTTGCGGCAAAATACAAAAATTACAAAAGAAAGCTGCAGATTTTTCGTCTCGTCTTTAAAACTCAAATCTCAAACAACTGGACGACTGCCTCGTATAATGCCTTTAAAATTCTATTTGCAGATTGTAATGTTTTTATTCAGGCTAAATTGACAAGGATTTATTTTCTTTGTGATATAAGAATAGTTCAACAAAACATTATCATATTCTATTCAATTTGTGATTGAACTGGTTCAATATTTTATTTGCAAATACACTTTGTTTGAATAAAAACTCTAAAAACTATGACAACTTTAGCTCTAACAAAGTTTGCTTTGTGTTTCAGGTCAAATCGAATGCTTGAATTGCATGTTGAGTCGTTGTCGTGGAATCGAAATAGATGCTAGAAACAATTTGGGTTTTACTCCTCTAATGAAAGCTGCCCTCCAAGGAAGAAATAAATGTGCCAAACTTCTTTTGTTTGCAGGTGAGTGGATAAAGTGTAAATAGGAACGGCGTGTTGTGGACACGACATGTGCGGCTTTGTAGGAAGTTGGAAAATTGTTAAGCGGTGAATAAAAAAATCTTCAACTTTATAAAAACCCATTTTTGTAAAAGCAAAAAAAGAAATTTATGTGGCTTTTATTACAGGTTGTGAAAAAAGTCCTTCATTTTATATTTTAATGTCCTACTAATGTATTATTTAAATATTTATTTCAAAATTTAGTAAGAATCTTAAAACATCAAGAACATTGAACGTTAGAATAAGTGAACATCAATCTTGTATTGTGTGTGTGTTTTATTGGCACTGGTTTTAACAACCAACTGGCCAGTCAAATTGTTTTGAGTTCTCTCTTTACACCAGATAGGGTTAGTATTTACATTTAAAACTATTGTATTTTATTGACAGTTAAGACATGGAATGTTAGAAACTTACTACTTTACTCTGTTTTTGCTGTTTTGTTTTTTTGTTCTTTTTAATTTTTTTTTACTTTTTTTATTTTTTTTTACTTTTTTTTATTTTTTTTTACTTATTATTTTTTTATTACTACGCTAAGACATAAATCCGATTCGACACCTCGGAGGTTTAGATCTTGATAAGTTTTTTTTAATTTTTTTTTTTATTTTGTTCTCCATTTTTTTTATTCTTTATTATTTTTATTATTGTTTTTTTTATCAGAGCTTTAATTTTAAGCAATTAATATGACTATATAAAATTTTATATACATCTAGATTCTCTAACTCTAAAATATGACAATGTGTTATATTAGAAGGTAATTGAACATTAACTTGAACTAGCTTGGTAAAAAAATTTTATATTAGAATAAAATGTAAAGGACATTCTAACAGCATATGTTGTAGATCAGCTAGCTCCCCACATATACGTTCATTATTATTTGCCAGTCCTATTTTTCTTTTGTAGACTATATTCATGCAATGATTGCTTCTTATTCTACAAATAGTTTTGATGAAGCCTCTGTTGGAAATTTGTTTAAACCATGTCTTGACTGAATGTGTGGGTTGGATTCTTTTATAAAATTTGCCTTTGTCTAAATTGTTGTGGTGTCCCTACCGTTTTGTCCGTTTGAGAGACCTGATTACAGATATTAAATCTCTCATAGGAAGTTGATAGGGTTGCAGAGTGGATTCTTTCATTGTTGCTTTTTTAGCCAGATCATATACTATTTCATTGTTTTTTATACCAATACGTGCTTTTATATTATATAAATATGATATTTTTGCCCTTCTAACAAAGTTGATAATGATCACAGCTATTTTCACTTTTGAGATTACAGCTCTGAACAAGTCGACGGAAATTCGATTTCCCTGTATTTTTCCCTGCATTATGGTTTGTAGCAACACATATTTATCCCCTCTAATAGCGTGGCCGAGATATTGTAACTTTCTTATGTTAATCGTATTCATGATTTCCATTTCCTTTGTCATCTTTCTGAGGACTTTAACATTTGTTATTCGGTCTACTCAACTTATTTTTAATATTCTTCGGAAGGTCCATATTTATTTATTTATCGTATGGCAATTACAACACATTTAGAACAAAATTACAAACACTAGTAATATAGATATATGACAAACTTTAAATAATTACAAACAAACATCAAGTGTATTAACATAATCAATTGACTCTGAAGTTGTAAACAGGAAGTCTTCAGGGTTACCGTTATAAGATCTTGAGGGACACTCTTCAATAATGTGGTCGATCGTTTGGTCCTTCCCACAGTCACATTGAGGAGACGGATTCTTTCCCCATTTATGTAGCATGTATGCACATCTGCCATGTCTGGTTCGGATCCTGTTTAGAGTGGACCATGTTTTACGTGGAAGATCAAAACCTGGTGGCTTGTGAGTAATACAGGGCATGTTATTTTGCCATGCATTCCATTCTTGGGACCATGCATTCGTGATGTTGAACTCCTCATGTATCATTCTTGCCGTTTTCATTGGTGGTTTTCTAGAACGTAGACGGGTATTTCGTGCATCCTCGGTATCTTGGTGGATCGGCAGGTTTAGATTGTTCATGATCTTTTTGTATTCACGTGTAAGTGCGTCAACTCGTCGTAAATGTGAAGGTGGAATGTGACTTAATACTGGAAGCCATTGGGTGGGAGTTGATTTAATTGTACCAGATATCATCCTCATAGTGCTGTGCAGCTGAGTGTCGACCTTTTTTACGTGTGGACTGTGTAGCCAAACTGGGGCACAATATTCAGCGGTCGAGAAAACAAGGGCTAAGGCAGTAGAGCGGAGAGTGGAAGCCGATGCTCCCCAGGTGGTACCGCAGAGCTTCTGTATAATGTTATTTCTTGTACTCAACTTTTGGGCAGTTTTTGTTAAATGCTCTTTAAATGATAGCGTTCTGTCTAGTGTTACGCCCAGGTACTTCGGAGTTTTGTTGTGGGAAAGTGTGGTATTTTCAAACCGTATGTTGAGTTCCTTTCCAGCAAGTTTATTGTTCAGGTGAAAGCAACTTACTTCTGTTTTGGATGCATTTTGTTGAAGCCGCCACTTGCGAAAATATTTGCTCAATATATATAAGTCTGCCGTCAGAACTTCTTCAGATGTTTCTAGTGTTCGGCATTGTGTAGTGAGGGCCCAGTCATCGGCGTATCCGAACTATCTTGATTGTGTTTATGGCATATCTGCTAAATATAAGCTAAATAGTAATGGAAAGAGCACTGACCCCTGTGGTAGGCCATTTTTAAGTTTCTTTGGTGGGCTCATATCTGTGCCCATCACTACTTGAAACATTCGGTCGTTGAGCATGCTATCTATTAAACGTGCTATTTGTTTACAGGGAATTGCACGGAGAATTTTGTATATAAGGCCCTCTCTCCATACTGTATCGTAAGCTGCCGAGAGATCAATAAATGCCGCTGAAGTTTTAAGTCTTCTTTGAAAACCCGCTTCGATGTAGGTGGTGAGTGATATGACCTGGTCCGCGCAGCTTCGTTCTGGTCGAAAACCCGCTTGTTCGACTGGGATCACCTGGAACAGTTCTGTACTGATTCTATTATATATAAGCCTCTCTAATAGTTTGTAGATGGCAGAGAGAAGCGCAATTGGTCTGTAGTTTTTTGGGTTGTCAGCGGGTTTGCCTGGCTTTGGTATAGCTATTATCTTAGAGCGCTTTAGTTCTTGTGGGATATTTCCAGTTTCCATGATGTCTGTGAAAAATCGAGCCAACCAAACTTTTGTATACTTGCCACAATTTAGTAGGAATTCAGGGTGAATATTATCAAATCCTGGTGCTTGAAATCCTATGGAAGATCCATAACTCGAATGCTTCTACTCCTACAGCAGTGCTGCTGTATGAGGCCTCTACCTCATACAGCAGCACCGAAAACACATATGAACGTAATATTCTTATTTTGAGTTACAAACTAAGGTCTCTACTGCATAATACTTTTCTCATCTTATTAAATGTTGCTCTAGCTTGTCCAATTCTCATTTTTATTTCTTCTGTATACTCGTTATTTTCATTAATAATTGTACCAAGATATCTGTATTTTTTACTTTTTCTATTAGAACCCCTCTTATGTTTAAAATGTCTTGTTGTTTGGTTTTGGAAATTGTCATAAATTTTGTTTTATTAGCATGAAGCGTTAGTCCGCTTTCCTCACTAGCATTTACTACATTATCTAAGAGTGTCTGTAAATCTTGTATATTCTCTGCAATTAGTATAGTATCATCGGCATATCTGATATTGTTGATGGGTCTGCCGTTGACTTTTCTTCCAATTGTTACATTTTCGAGTGATTTTTTAATTATTTCTGCCGAATATAGATTGAACAATAAGGGGGAGAGTATGCAACCTTGCCTTACGCCTCTTTTTATCTCTACTTCCTTCGAAAGTTCTTTGCCTACTCTGACTTCTGCTGTTACAATATTGTTAACGCTGCATAATATTCCAAGCTATAAACTTGTTATAGAGTAAAAATCTTACGGAACATACGTACATAAAAGTTATATTATGTATTAGTATGTTAGTAGTAAGTATGTATTAATATAAATGTATTAATAATTATTACAGTCGAGTAAAAAAAAAACAAAATGTAACTCATAATCATATTTATTAACTATAATTACATCATACGTACACTTAAAACTATTTAATTTTATATTACAAAATCTCGCTTAACACTTTTTTCGATTTCTCTGAAAGCTTGTTTGGAAAAATAATATCAAAACTGACGATTAGATCACCACGTCTAGAGGGTTCCTTGGGAAATGGCAATCCTTTCCCAATTAATCTTTTAACAGTCTTTGGGGAAATAACCTGCGATGAATATTGAAGGTTAATATGTTCTCCCGAAAGTGTAGGAACCTTAATCGAACAACCAGTCAAAGCTTCTTTCAGGCTAATGTTTGCCGTATATCTAAAAATATGTTATATTTAATAAAATATCATTTTAGAAATGAGGAACTGTACATAATAAAGCTTGTATTTAAAGGACATTCTCAGTGTTGTTGATAACAAATTTTCTAACCAATGTATGTAATGTACTAAAATTAACGCATAATTTTAAAATTTTAATTTCATACTTAATAAATCATTTTTATATTCTCACAGTAAACTCTATCTTATCGTATACCTGTCTTCGCTGAATAACTCCTCTATATGGAGGGTTTAGAAAAATCATTCGGAGATATATGAATCTGTACCGTTTAACTCCCTCGGACGCGGATATTAAATTATAACATAATTTGACATTTCTACTTCACATTTAATTGGTTAGTAAAGCAAGCAAATTTTACTAATGTCGTGTGTCGGTCGATGGAAGCAATGCTTACACCAGAAACAATAGTATGACATTACTAAATAACCTTGAGAAGGAGCCTTGGATTCCTCCAAACTGTGCCTCCAACCTTGCCAGTCCCACTCCGATATCCACCAGGTACTCACGTCTAGCAAAATTTGCACGTCCGCTGCCACCTTTTTTATCTGCATTTTACTATCTAGGGCTC